CGTACACTGCTGCTGTGTATGAGCACGCGGTGTTCTCACTACCGCCTTCTGAGATCAAGAATAAGTCGGTTGCTCTCTCCGTTATGAAACAGAACCTTGAAGTTTTTGAAATAGCTACAACAGAGGCAAAGGAAAAGGTAGGCACTTAGTAGAGATGTTTAGTCACAGAATTTTCAGTGTGTTCCCCGTTAATTTCGTTCTAGTCACGAGAACGTTTCACAATTGCAAGCACGTTTTATTTAAGATTCAATGATACGATAATCCGGCACCTTAAGTACATTTTTACCAGACCAGACGATCTTAAAGATAAAACAATGGCCACTGCGAGAAAGTGAAACATGTTTAACCCTCATCCACCTTTCAGGGGCCTTGCAGGCCCAGACCCATGTATCTTTTGCTCTTTCTTCGTTGGCATGAGGTTTTGAGCCTGTTCCTTTCATGTAATCCTCAAGCAACTTATACCCCATCAATGGATAAATAATTAGTTTTGAAATAATTTATACCACATGTAGAAATTAACTTTTCCAAAAGTTAGTCCCATTTCCTGGAAACCGGGCTCAGAGGCCCGGTGTAACATGAAAATCTGACTCCCCCTCCACAAAACTTATTTTATTTGAGTATATGACTGTGATCTTGTAGTATGTAAAATGGAGAATACATTGGCACTTTTTTTAGTTTGCAGGTGAATATTTTCATGAAAAAATAAGAAAATTAAAAATGTGCACTTTACTGCCCATTGTCTCCCTCATGAAAAAGCTATTTTTTTAATATTGGATGATCATTTCTACATCTTTCCTTTAAATTTACTTTATGAAGATTATATTGGAAATATTTGAAAGTTTGATGGTGAACTACTGGGTGAAAAAACAAAAAAAAAAAAAAAAAAAAAAACATGAAAAATTAGAAAATTAAAAATGTGCATTTTATCACCCAATAACTCCCCTTTGAAAAAGCTATCTATTTTATATTTGAACACTTCAACATTTCAACACCTTTCCTTTGAGGATACTTTATGAAAAATATATTGGAAATATTTAAAAGTTTGATGATAAAATAGTGAGGGAAAGAATGAAAAAGAAATCATGAAAATCTTCATTTTTATACCCATGAGATTTGGACTCCTATGAAGAAAAGAACCTATTTTATATTCAGTCACCATACCATTGTTTTCCACATAGTTTGCACAGAGATGTATATTTTGTTATTATTTGAAAGTTTGGTGGTGAAAATTTTGGTGAATATTTTTAAAACAAGTATTCATCTTACTACTTGTAGGATTTGCACTTCCATGTCAAAACGCTACATTTTTAACTCAAGAAATTGGCCCCATCGCCTTTTTACTGAATTCTTCTTATATAGCATACCCAGTAATTTACCATTCAAACTTTCAAATATTTACAATATATTCTTCATAAAGGATCTTTAAAGAAATTATGTCAGAATGATCATTAAATATTAAATAGATAGCTTGTTCATGGTCAGATTTTCATGGTACACCGGTCCCTTGATAATTTTACTTCCACAAGGAAGCATGTGTATTTAAGATATGTGATGCATTGTTGGGTTTTACATTTGTGTGGAGCTTTGTTCAAACAATGTCTAGAAATGTATTTGAGGCAATTGGCAACATGCTGCCAGATAGGGGGAACAACAGTGACCCACCAGATGATTCCTCTGGGAGTGATTATGTACCATCAGATAGCTCATCAGAGTGTGATCCCGAATCATCCAGTGAAGTTATCTTATGTTATGAAGTTATGTTACCTCACATATCTTTGCTATCAAATGCTTTACACAAGCAATATCATGTGTGCTTTGACTATCAGTATGGTCAATGAAATCTGCCTGTGAAAGATTCAAGACCTGGAGAAATAATTATTTATGAGTAATCGGTCACCTTGGTCACCTGATATGCAGATATCAGTTTAAATTTATCATTATTACATACCTGATAGACTGCACTAGCTTTGGGAAACTTTCCATTTTGAGAAAAAATGATTTTTCCGCATGTTCCATGCACAGTGTATACTCACCCAGGTGGAGGTAAAGCGAGCAAGGGACCAGGCCTCCGATGCCCGGTTTCAGGGTTTACGTAGGGTTCCATTTCCTTGTGGATGAGGGTTAAGAACAGAGTACATTTTCTATGCAGAAAATCGTCATGTAAAGGCGACGGTACAGCAAAAGGTGAGATCTTTTTTAGCGGTTTCTCCGTAAAAAGAAAAGACGTCCCTCAGAATCAAGCCGTTTGTTACACTTTTCATCTGCTACGTTTTCCAGTTTTATTACAGTTTTTGTAGGTAAGAGTCTTCCGTCTTTCTTTGGCATAGTCATTAGCGACGTTTCGTGTTTTTAAAAGACCTGCATAAAATAACGGTCGAACTAAGTCCGCTTACTAACCCTTCCGATCCCAGGATATTGTTGGTGGGTGCTACGACAGATGGACTTCGTCTGGGAAACTAAACTAAACAAACAATATTATTACAGAGAAAGCCCTCTTTCTTCACAGAACTCGTCAATGAAAAGGGCATATTTATGTATGACTCTTGTTATGTTATAGCGATCTTCACTTAAGCATGTATAGCTAGTTTAGCAATGACGCTCTGAAAAAATGAGGGGCAAAACTGTGTATGTTTGAGGATGAAAATGCATTTGAAGGTTGACAAAACGCTCTCCCTTATAGCATTCCAGTTATTGTGTAGTCTGTAGATTTGTTTTTATCTTTAGACATGGTGACCCGATAAAGAGATTAAAAAAAGGGCATTAGGGCAATGGCGCTCTGAAAAAATGAGGGGCAATATATATATATATATATATATTTATATATTATTTATATATATATATTTATATTATTATTTTCTGTGTATTTGTATCCCTGTTATGTGCCCAATCCAGGTGGTGGTACACACCTAGGAAACATTTTTTCCTCTCTGATTCTCTAGTTTTAGATCCAAAAACCTTTTCTGGATTTAAAACCGTTCTTGTATTGATATTGATAATTCATATCTGTTTAACTCATTGCTTCATTTAATTCTGAACCAGTGTCTTTATTTAACAGGGCGCTGAAATCATAGTGTTCCCCGAGGATGGGTTATACGGCTTCGAATTCACTCGCGAAATATTCCAGTACTTCACTGAGGACATCCCTGACCCTCAGACCCAACCAGATTGGAACCCATGTAAAAAGTACCCCGAGTCAGCAAACAGCCCAGTGCAATATTGGCTCAGCTGTATGGCACTGAACAATAGCATATACATTGTTGCCAATGTCGGTGACGTGAAGTACTGTAACCTTAAGTCAGACAAATTGTGCCCGGCTGATGGACGCTACCAATACAACACGAACGTAGTGTACGATCCAGAAGGCAAATTGGTTGCAAGATACCATAAGCAAAACCTGTTCATGACTGAAAAACTCAATTACAACCAGCCTCATCAATGTGAATACGCCACGTTCACCACACCCTTTGGCAAATTCGGTACTTTCACTTGTTTCGATGTTCTTTTCCGCGAGCCACCAATCTCCCTGGTAGAGAACTTTGGCGTGGACAATGTGGTTTTCCCTACGGCTTGGATGGATGTTCTTCCATTATTTGCTTCTGTTGAATTCCACCAGGCATGGGCGATGGGTATGGGAGTGAACTTCCTCACAGCTAACTTACACAAAACCAGTTTTCATATGTATGGGAGTGGAATATTCACCCCACAAGGAGCCGTTGTCTACACACATAACACAACCACCGAACAAGGGAGACTTTTGGTGGCCCAGGTTCCAATACTGAGAAATGCGCCTACAAAAACTACTCCATATTCAAATAGGCCGTTGCCAACTGAAAAAGATGGCCAAACTGCAATCAAATTTCAAGCAGAGGTCTTTGCGGACTTATTTGATTTTGTCACTCTGCCAAAGCCAAACGGCAGCTTAACCATTTGCCAAAAGGCCGTCTGCTGCCACTTGACTTATACCTTCGATGAATCGCCCGCTGACAGCTTATATGCTCTTGGCGCCTTTGACGGTCTACACACCCATGAAGGACAATATTACTTACAGACATGCACGCTGCTCTCCTGTGCCAATTCATCCACCAGTTCCTGCGGCCAACCAACCACCAATGCAAAGTCACGTTTTGGCAGTTTGTCATTAGGTGGCGTTTTCAACACAAAATATATTTTCCCGGAATTCCTGACAACCGATGGATCAAGTCTTGACCTTGCCAATGGACAATGGATTTATGAGGACGGTATGATCAAAGTCAATCATACGACCTTAAAGCCGCTTCTGTCCACAACACTCTTTGGGAGATGGTATCAAAGAGACAATGGTCTATACCCTAGGCCTACTGGCGCCTCAACACAGATATCACCAATGCCGTTGTTCCTTGACTTTGTCTTATTTATCGCAGTATTTTTCTTTTCTGACTGAAAACTATTTTTGTCTACTTGTCGGCAATGATGACAACATTAATAAAGTATATAGGTTAAAATATCACGGGCTATTTTTGAAAATGCAACAGAATAAAGTTTACGGCGAGAAAAATTCTACCTGTGCTCAATAACCTTGCTGATGTGTTATCCAACTCCTACTGCAGTGTAATAAACCTTTTCGCTCGACAGCAATTAATTATGCATAAAAATAACAATGGAAAAGGTGATGACAGATCAACTGTCGGTGAGCGCTGTCAATAAATAATAATCAGCACATCACTGAATTGCATTTTTTTGAAAGCTTGGACCAAATTCTTTTCCACTTATAATCTATTTTGCTCAATGTATGATACAACATATAGGTTCGAGTCATTTTGAAAGCCCAAGGGGAACACGCAAACACAACAATCTTCTTATAAAGATGATACACCTGTTAAACAGTAAATGAGATATACTTGAATTCACCAAATGTTGAGCAAATAAATAGATGACATGCTATTTTGAACAGCATTAGCTCTTAGTGTTTAACATAGACGGCTAGACATGCAAAAATACATATCTATAAAAAAATGAGTGAATGACGTTGCTCAAGCTTGAGTGCTTACAGGTGCAGCTTGGTTTAACAAACATAACAGCAACATGTACGAAATACTAAACAGCCCGTTTTTCATGATTAAAATTAAATAATTCCAAGGTAATATCGTCCTGCTAGTATTTAGCACCACGACCACGACTCGTATGATAAAGAAGGGTAGTTCGTGTCCAAGTAGGTAGACTAAAACGTGAACTCTTTTGGGTCGAAGTTCACCGGATTCGTCAACTTTCTGTGGCGTGGGGACAAATCTCAGCATGCTGGTGACACCGGATATTACGACTACCGTTAAAAGGATGTCATTTAAGAGCACTTCCTTCTGCATTAGAAGATTCCACATTTCCGAAATGTCGTAAATGGGGAGAAATTCCGCTCCACATTCGGCAAAGAAGATGTATTTCATTTCATAGTCGTTTTCCTGAATATATAATAATAAAGAATATAGTTTTAAGAAAGAGTTAAATTGACAACGAGATACTTTACACAGGATATTAACAGAAAACTTCATTATGCAATTAATGACTATGATTCCTGTTCTGACTCTTTAAAAAATAACCAAAAAAAAAAAAAAAAAAAAAAGATAAAAAGAACTTAGACCTGCTACATTCAAATAACATGATTACCGCCAAGTAATCAAAGCAAGTGAAAAAGAAAAGTGAGACCCGCCGTCCAAAGTATTGCATAAACTTAATAACTAGAATAATACAGCGGTTTTCAGATTTGTAGAATTTCAATTAAATTGCATTTTCAAAAACATATTGGATTCTCAACCTACTTTAAATTTGGCAAACCATTCGCAGCCCACCAGTACCACGAGAATCAAATGGACCACCATGACCGAGTAAGCGTCGAATGCCTCGAACTTCGAATCTGCCAATGCGTGCTCATTGACGCCAGAGGTTTGGCACGTCGAAGTAGTGTTGACGTCACAAGGGACAGTCTTACCGTAGACCTAATATAATAAAAATAAAAAAATAAAAAATAAAAAACGAAAAAAACAGAGAAAATGTATGAAATGCGAATCCACTTATCTTGAGCTGCTGCTGAAAATGCTAGGTTGTTTGACGAAAACCTTTGGAAGGTGTTCACGGCATCGATTACGTCAAACTTTGTGAAAAACACTTCCAAAAAATAAATAAAATAAAAATAAAAAATAGGATGACATATCTAGGATAAGAAAAAAATTACATTTGAGTGATCACTTACCTTGTATGACAAGACCAGTAATATAACAGACGGGAGCACGGAGAAGATCCAATAAAGTAGAATTGGAAGGCGTCTGAAATAAAAGGGAAAACTATAAAATCCGACCCTGATGCATCTTGAATAAACAGATAAATGGCTTAATTGCACAAAACATTTATAGAATCAGATTTCAATTGATTGTTATCCTGTCCACATAATGTTTACATAATATATACACGACTTTATTCCTTATTCCTTCCTTATTTACAATTTATGCACCTTAAAGAGAATCTAAAGGACACACAATGGCTGTTGGATATTTACGCGCACTGTACTAAGAATGTTTTCCTTAAAAAATTCAACACTTTTCCTTTGATCACTCAGGTACCAGAAACGGTTATAGAACTACATCCCGAGTCCTGAGTTTCTAATTTTTGGACTTATGGAATGGAATTTTCTCAAAGGTTTTGGGTAGATCTAGAGATATACTGTTCGGATAAAGGGAGTATTGGTAAAATTTCCAACAAGAAACTTATTTTGCTATATGCTTATTGTATGAAAGGGTGTTGTACTCACATTTTCGTCTGTATACTTTCCCCAAACTGCTTCACTATACAGAAAACAAGTCCCGCCGCTATCAGCAGCCCAGCAAATACTCCCCCAAGGATGTACCAGTATACGGCCAAGGTTACATCCAGTCCGTACACGTATTGTCCAGACCCGTCCACCAACAGGTCAGCAACCTTTTTGGATGACACGAAGTATGGCACGGCATAGCAGGAAGCGTATATGAAAAAACCGAGGGACGTGAGACAGCATTCCTTCATTGTAAGTGTGCGCGCACTGAAGGGCTATTTGCTCCAGTCAAATTGAACTTAACCGGCGCTGAATCTCCTTATTTGCCTGCATGTACTTTCCGTGAAGTCTAAAAATGTGCCCTAAAAGGGAATTTAATCTCTTCCGCAACTTATCCAACTTCTAGCTATTGCACATAACAGCATAATGGCTGTTTCAGTGACACAGTCATAACTGGCGTATATTTATACCATACCCGATACGATTTCTGTCTGGCACCGTCTGCACCACTTCAAGTCACGGTTACATATGACATTTTCATACAGAAGGTCGCTGTGCTTTTCTGTCAGCTGATTGCAGGTGTTGAAATGCTGTCATTATTCCTCAAATTGTGGATTTTGTAAGCAAATAAAAGCCATATTATGCAAATCCAAAAGGCAGTGCGTTAAGTGTATTGTATTCTGAATGTTTACTTTCATATGCAGTGCTTTTGTGGGTGTGTTTTGGCGCGGGTTTAAGTTTCGTTGAAGACTAGCTAGTATAAGCATACCGCCCGCCCCGATGAAAACAATGTAAATTCAGAAAACAAACTATGTTGTTCGTTACGTCATGATCGTAACATGACACTTTGTAATTGGCCGGAGAAAAGAAAAATATGTATTTGAAAGCGAGCTCTCAGTTATGGTAACAACTGTAAAGACATACTGATACAGTACGTACAATATTTCGGGTTGCATTTTTAAATGGAAAATACAGAATCTAAAGTAGTTTTTATATTCAATCCCATAAACGAGTTTTTAAGCCATTACAAAATTAATGCATTGGAACGAGACCATGAACAAATATAAGTAGATTTATTCATTAAATTACACGATAAATAGATACAGGAGCGTCCCCCAATCTTTGAGGTAACAAAAAAAAAAAAAAAAAAAAAAAAAAAAAAAAAAAAAAA